ATTTCATCCAAAGAGTGGATAAAAGCATTGGTTGAGTGATCTAAAGTGATTTCATCAAAGAGTGGATAAAAGCATTGGTTGAGTGATCCTAAGTGATTTCATCCAAAGAGTGGATAAAAGCATTGGTTGAGTGATCTAAGTGATTTCATCCAAAGAGTGGATAAAAGCATTGGTTGAGTGATCCTAAGTGATTTCATCCAAAGAGTGGATAAAAGCATTGGTTGAGTGATCCTAAGTGATTTCATCCAAAGAGTGGATAAAAGCATTGACTTGACCCAAAGAGTATTGAGTCAATACCTAGCCACAGCAGAGGGAACAAAATCTTGGAGAGTTGAGATACCAAGGGGAATTAATTGAAACTGAAGCATGGCACTTGGAATTGGAACAATCTAACTAAATAAAGGGTTTAGTTTGAAATTTTGATATCACCTGAAGAAGGCCAGAGCATACAACAGCCAAAACATTGTGAATATGACATTAAAGATGAGGACAAGCGTCCAAACAATGTAAATAGTTTAAATAATTACAATACCTCATCTCACAAATATAGACAGATGTTTAACAATATTTGCAGTTTATTTCTGCTAAGAAATGATATCTTCCCTTTTTATTTTTTCAAAATTCTCCTAAGAATTTGGTCAATGTGAAATATGGATTCACATTTTACATCAATTTGTGATCTCACTGATCTTTTTTATTATCAAGATAATGATTATGATTTTTGTCAATTAAGATCAGAGATTATGAAACTAACATCTGTATTCAAAAAGTGGATCTACCATTTTGTGGATTTCAGTATCCTACATAATGTTTTCTTCTGTGAAATATTCTAGTTCCATTTGGATATCTGGCTGATACTAAATTTTTCACAGCATGGAATTTCCTCTGGAAAATTTAATTAATGATGCAAATATTTGTTTGAAAAAATAGTTTATTTGTTACAATTGACACTTGACAGTCTTGGCACTCTAAATAGTCTCTACCCAGTTACAATTGATGCCTGTCTGGTTTTGTACTCTCAATTGGCTCCACCCATTACAAATGATGCCTCTTAGTCATTTCACTCTAAATTGGCTCCACTTATTTACAATCAAAGCCTGTCAGTCTTTGCACTCTAAATTGGAATCATAATAACCATTTTCAATTAATGTTCATACTACTACAATGTTAGAAGTGTTATCCATTTTGGTATGGATCAGTGTCACCATTTGAATCTCAATTTAGCAAGTTAGTAAAATGTTCCTACTTTTGCAATGTTTTCAGTAGATGCAAAAATTTCTTCCTCCTAATGAGATCGAAGCAAAATTATTGTACTTCATAGTCTTTTTTGATAAGACTGTAGAAGCTGTATGTGTCATGCTTATCTGTGACTAATTGTTCATCCCAAGACATTCTCTTACAATTATTTTTCATTTGCCAAAAATCTGTCTTGCACAAATTTTTTTTAATAAATATATATTGTGTACAAATGAAAAGATTTGCATTTGACGACTTTTTCCATTTCACTGAAATGGCCTTTAAATACTTTTATCTCTCCTCCTTTCTTTTCATTAACTCACTGAAACCATGTAGTGTCTCTGACATGTCAGTTTTGTGTTTTCACTGATCAAAAAGTAATAGTCCATTATTTGAAGTATTGGCAGGGTGTAATGGTCGTGTAAACAAATGAAGGGGGAGGGAAAGCAGAATCATAATAGATGATTCTTATCAACTTTTGTACATTTGTGTTTTTTTAAAAGTTTTTTTTTAGAACTATTTTGAATTTTTCAGGTGACAAGTTTGAAAATATGTTTGTCTCATATCAGTTTTAAGTTTATACATACATAGAGAACTGTGAAGGACAGCAGAGAAACTTTTTAATAACAATGTTTTGCTGACAGGTGTTGGGCTCAGGTTCTAACCTGAAGCCACTAACCTAACACACAAAGGTGAAATATGTTATCAATAAAAACTAAAAAGCTTTTCCAGTTTGTCTGTCTTTTGCCACATTTGTTCAGATTCTGTCTTACTAACATACATAGAATGACAGAGGCAGCCACATATTGCAATTACTTTTAAGCAGGTTCTTTTAGATAACAACAACCAGCTGATAACATTAAACAAAAGAAATAATAAAAAGAACAATTTACATTCCTTAAATTCAATTTTATAAAAAATTTAAATAAAATTCTTAAAAAGAACTTTGATTATAATGAACAGATGATTTTAAATTCTGTTTGGGACCAACTGATTTTGATAACATTATTTGTGATCATTTTTTTTTTTCTTTTAATCTTTCCATCCCCCAAGCAAAGTAATAAAGCCACTAGGATGCAATGGGGTTACTGCATGTGAAAAATAGCAAGAAAAACTTTAAGTGAGAGTAATAAAAAGAATGGGCTACAAGGGGACAGAAGACGATTTGTTGTTGCATTTAAATTTTGAAGATCATCATTTACAGGAAAGTGCAAGATAAAAAAAAAAACAAAAAACTGTTAGCATAGATCTTATGGTTACATCTAGCAATTTCAACAGTGCAATCATGAACCTAACTGCCAATCAGGTACTGCACTTAAATCCATGATTATAGTAACTTGCTTCCTTTGTATTAGTGTGTTGTTGTTTTTTGTTTTTTTTTTAGTGATTCATTGGCAGTTGATGAGTTTTAACCAAGTCCATTTCTTTTATTTACTATGTGCCGTAACAGCTTCTCGGGAAACTACCATAATGTGATGGTAACTGAGGCCTTTTATCAACTGCATATAGTGAATTTGAGCCTCACTAGGTACCTCACTACTTTGCTTTTGTGCCTAACTAAAGACTTACTTGTAAATTCTATTTTCACTTTTGGTCTGATGTCATATTAAACTTCTTTTGCACCATGGGTGATCATGGCTCTCCACATCTCTAAATAACATACTTTGTAAATAATTGTATAATACCAGCCTTTTAGATTTGAGTTCAGAGAAGGTTGGATTTATAACCTTGTCCTTAATGGGTTCACTATCAACTGCTCACCAAAAAAAAATTGAGGTTAGGGGTTAGCCAACTATTGTGTATGGAAAAGAAATTGATTTGATAAACTCACTGATCCAATATTTTTACTCTTTAGGGAATTGGTTATTTTTGCCATGAATGGAAACTATTTCATCACAAGATTCAATTCATGTTCTGATCAATCATTGTTTGCCCACACGGGTCTCTTTGCAAGACTAATTTTATGTATTGATTATTGCTCACTTAAAGCAAATCAGTTGTTTAGACTAAAAACACTTTTTCATCTGACTATTGCTTAAAATTCTAACATGAATTATTTTTTTTGTTCTACATATTCTTTGAATTTGTATCTTCATAAGTATTGTCTCTGTTACATTATTGTTCAATGTATACTCCCCTTACCTTACAGCTTAATGTATACCCACTTTACCTTACAGTCAGTTATGTGCCATGCGTGATACATGCTTAGGCGATCATGTATCTTTTGATATATGACTGACGAGACAGAATTTTTCTCATAGTAGGTTACCATTTCTTTCTGCAATAGACCAGTTGCCATCCAAGGCTATAGAACCAGTCAATCCTACTATTTACCGATAGCTGTGGGGGGGAGAAGAAGAGAATTCATACCTTTCTCAAGGGTATTAGGGGAATATAATGAAGAAAAAGATCCATTCCACCATGCCTTTCTTTCAAGGGTATTAGCTTAATGTAACCCCTTACCTTACAGAATATAATGATGTATCTTTTGATATATGCTGGAAATTAAAATAGACCAGTTGCCATCCAAGGCTATAGATCCAATTATTTACCGATAGCCATACCTTTCTTGTTGGTATTAGCATGTAAGTGAATATAATGAATTTGGCTGGAATTCAAATGCCGCTATCCATTACTCCACCATGCCTTCTTACTTTACAGCTTAATGTACACCCCACCCCTTACCTTACAGTCAGTTATCATGCGTTATGTAGGCGATCATGTATCTTTTGATATATGATACATTTTGCTTAGGATCATGTATCTTTTGATATATGACTGACGAGGCAGATTTTTTCCCGCAGTAGGTTGTCATTGCTTTCTACAATAGACCAGTTGCCATCCAAGGCTATAAAACCCAGTCTATCCTGCAATTTACCCATAGTTGGGGGGAGATGAGGACTCATACCTTCCTCAAGAGTATTAGCACATAAGTGAATTTAATGGACTCAACTGGAATTTGAACTTGGCTCTCTGGTTCCTCAATCCAAGCCGCTATCCATTACTCCTCCTTACCTTATGGCTTAATGTATACTCACTTTACCTTCCAGCTTAATATATACCCCCTACTCAATGATAAGGAATTCAATTCTCATTCTTTGATAAATCCCCTCTCTTCCATCTTGTGTCTAATAAAGGCTGGTTCATGTTTATGTTGGCTCTCTCTTACATCTGAGTTTGTCCTGTTTTCCATGACTTAATGTAACATGTTGACACTGGTTGCATGTAACTCATGCCTTACAACCTTACAAATCCCTTGCATCTTAGTGGCTTTATTGCCTTGCTTGGTATGAAATGATTAAAACAAAAAAAATAATTTACTTCAACCATGATTATATTTAATAGCAAAGGCATTTAAATTAAATCAAGTTTGTTGATTTTATAAAATTAAACACATTGTTAATGATTTCAGAGTCAAATGACAGCATTGTTTTTTCTTTTTGCAAAGAAAAAACTTCAAATTTTATATACTCTGGTTATGAAATTGAAATACCATTAAAAATTAAAATTCTGTTAGAAAAAGAATCTGAAATTATGCAAAATTATGATTGGAAAACCGTTGTATAATGAGGAAAAATAGAAAAAATTTAAAATAAAAATAAACAGAGGAAACAAGTTTAATAAATTGTCCTGTTTTTCAAGCATGCACAGACATATTTTCATTTCTTTTATCAAATTTAATAAAGTTCATTTTTTATTAAGTATAAATTATATATGCAGCAATTATATATCAAAATAAGTAATGAGATAAATTTATTTTTATTCTAACAGGTCCTAGGATCAAGTAAACATTTTTGTTCACAAATGGGTTGGAGAATATAAATATCTGGGTAAAGAAAGAAAGGAGGGGGAATAGCAGCAGTTGGTGATGAGAGAAGACAAAGTTTCTTAAGTGAGTAACAACTTGGAAGAATGAAGCTGCCTTCTTCCTTCTTCTGGCAAAAAAAAAAAACATTAAAAAAAATTATTAAAGATTATTGAAGGAATGTTTACATTTCTATACTGGGGAGGAAGAAGGAGAAAGAAAATAAAAGAGGGGGATTGAGAATAAAAATGGGAATCTGAAGTTGAAAGACATAAAAAGAATGAGTTTGAAAACATGAGAGAAAGAGAAAAATGAAAATGGATTAAAATGGGAGGAATGAAAATATGGAAGGAAAAGAAAGAATTTTGAAAGCTGAAAAGACAAGGAGGGAGAAAAAGAAAATGAATGCAAGAAAAATGATGATTATAATAGATTTTCAGGTTATGTTGAAATGTAAACACCCCAGGGCTAAGTGGTGGGGGAGTAAAAGCTTAAATCAGCAGAGGAGCCTCTGCAAAATGAGGGTTGAGGGTAGAGTGGGGAGAATCTACTTTCTGATTTGTAGTTCGAAAACTTCTTGAAAAATAAATAGCCATTAAGAAAATCATTTTCTTACTCCAGGGAATGAGTTTTGAGCTTTCCTTTTCAGATATTCAAAATTCTAAAAAAGAAGCAGAAATGTTATGGAGTACATTTCCATTTCTTCACAAGGAAGATGCATAACAAATTAACCAGGAGCCAAAAAGAAAATTCAGATTGCAAATAAACACTCAGAAGCTTGGAAAATAAATTCTTTAAAAAATGAATAAATACAACATCAAACTATTAAAGTTTAATGCTTCTGTGTTGATTAAACTGACATTTCAAAGTCAATTAACTGACTTTGAGCTGATGATAGCTTTTGGTACCCTGATAGCTGAAAATATGTCTAATTATTTAAATGATTCAGCTTAATATTGAATGACCAATTTTGCAAATGTGTGCCTCTTTCTTAAGTGAATTAATTGGAAAAATGAATAATGTGCTAATTTATAGCCCAGCATTTTATTTTTTACCAGTATTCTCCGTCATCTTCATCTGTAGGATAGGACAAACATGTTTTAAGTTGTTTAGCTTATTCTAATGAGTACAATGTAGAGTGACTTTTTTCCTGGTTACTCAGGTAACAAATGTAAAAAGAGGTCAAGGTTATCATGTGGATAAATTAAGTCAGAGAGGAAGCTGACACCAAAGCTGAGGAAGGACATTGGCATACTAATGACTAACATTTGGTAGAAATAGAAAAAATGCACCATCATATTCCAGAAGAGGAGATAAGTTCCCTGTGATTGTCAGTGTGACATTCTGGTGACAGTAAATATGGAAAAAATAGTAAAAAAACAATATCATAGTTTGAATAGAATAATCAATCTAGGTACTAAAGCTCATATGTTAGAGTATCCAAGTAAAAAGTCACAGCAGAATGTTAGCACTGTTTCTATATCTTTCTTCATTATTCACAACGTTTCAGCCATTGTATGCTTCAGCCTTCTTCAGGTGATATATGTTGAAATTATGAACTGAACCCATCATTTCATTCATTTATTGTACTTCTGCATGCCATGCTTTTTCTGGATATGCCGTCAATCTGCAAAATGAAAATCACACAACTGACCAGATGAAGCATTCCAAAAGCATTGTGAGCCAAATTCTTAAACTGTATGAAAACACTGGTCTCTTAACTAGTCTAAACAAGGGGGATAGACCAAGGAAAACCCCAGCAGAGTAGACGGGATCGTTCAATGCCTAGCATTGAAGGACCGTTTTTGAATTTGTGTGTCTCAACAAACTGTATCTAGATGCTTGCAAGAAATAGATTTATGCCATTCATAAGCAAAAAGAACAAGACGGCAAGACTGAAATTTGCAAACAAGCATGTGTTGTGGTCAGAAGTGTTCCAGCATATTTTTCAGTGATGAAAGTAATTTTTAATATATTTGGTTCTGATGGAAAGCAGAGTATGTAAGAAGATGAATTGGCAAAAGGTTGAGTTCAAAGTTCATTAAGACAGTTAAGTTTGGTGGAGGCAATGTGATGGTTTTTGGCATGTTTTCAAGTTTGGGTACGTCACCTCTTGTACACTTACATAATAGAGTTAATGCTGCTATGTACAAGAATTTGTTAGAGAATAATATGTTGTGCCAGTATTACAAAATTCTGGGTTTGAAAATCCTGTGTTCATGCAGGATAATGCTCCCTGCCATAAGGCAAAGCAGGTTATTGCTTATCTAAACAACCAAGGAATAAACGTTATGGATTGGCCAGTTCAAAGTCCTGACATAGAAAAGTTATGGAAGATTTTGGGACAAAATGTCATGACTAGGAATCCATTAAATGTAGAAAATCTATGAGGGCTAAAATTACAGGTCAAAATTTTGTGCAATTTTGTGGACAATGATGTGCATTAGTGGTTCAAAACAAGGGTCTTAGCAGTAAATATTGATAAGACTTTTGCAATTTGTTGTCCAATTATTTTTTATTAAAAACATTGTTTTGTTCCTTAATTTTGGCTACTTGATATTTGAGTAAAAAATTAAATGAATCCTAGCTCTCTCTCTCTCTTTTTTTTTCTCTCTCTCTCTTTCTCTCTCTCTCATTCCAAATAACTTAGTAGTTCAGTTGTGCTTTAAATCTCTATTTGTCAACATTTAGTGAAAATTTCAGAAAAATTGGTCTTATATTTTTTGAGATAATGAAGTTTTAACTTTTGTTCTTTAATTTTGAATCCTACTGTAGTTCCTTTTCTCCCAATTTTCCCTTGTGGAACTCTCTTCTAATTACTTGGTCATGCATCAAGTCATCATGGCTGATAGTTTGCATACACAGTTGTTGTTCAAACTGCTGATCATGACAGATTATACACTCAGTTCTAGAAACTGTAACTAACATCTGCTCAGTATAATTGTAGTATAAACAAGATCTAGGCTCTGTGGATGTTGAACAAACACAAATGTGCCTGAACAAGTATCTGTCACAGGGATCAGATTGCTGCCCTAGCACATAAATGTGTTTGGAAAACAAGAGTAGATAACTATTTTTATATATATCATAGTTAAAGTGCTCAATATGTGGGATAGAGAATAGCTAAGTATAAAAGTGGACATTGAAGTCAACATCCAGAAGCAGCACTCTATTTCATGCTTAAATGTACAGTGGGGGAAAATAGGTATTTCATCCACTGCTGATTTTCTGAGTTTGCCACCTTACAAAAATAGGAACGGCCTATAATTTTCAGGGTAGGTCCATCTTGAAAGTGAGAGATAGAATATAAAAAAAATTCTAGAAAATCACATAATAATATTTGAACATTTATTTCTTTTGTATTGAAAAAAAATTCTAGAAAATCATGTATTTTTGAACATTTATTCTTTTTTTATTGAAAAAATAAGTATTTTACCCCATAGCAAAATATAACTCGGTATTTGCTGAAGAAACCCTTCAGTATCTGTCTATATTTCTGAGATGAGGTAATGTACATTATTTACATTATTCGGACTATTGTCCTCATCTTTGTCGCCATATTTATCACAATGTTTCGGCTGTTGTACACTCCGGCCTTCTTCAGGTGGTTGGAATGTCGAACTGAACCCTTTATATTGCTCACTGGGGTAGACTTTTCTAGTGCCATGTTTAAAGGATGTCAGTTATCTCCTGTTAATTTTCCCTCTGAAAGTTCTCCACTGCCTTAACCGGGCACTGAACTCATACTCTTTGTGTCCTGTCACTGGATCTAACCAACGCCTTTATCCACTGTGCCATGCGTCCTTGAGGATGGCACAGTGGATAAAGGCGTTGGTTAGATCCAGTGACAGGACACAAAGAGTGTGAGTTCAGTGCCCGGTTAATGCAGTGGAGAATTTTCAGAGGGAAAATTAGCAGGAGATAACTGACATCCATCAAACATGGCATGTGGAACTAGAACAGTCTACCCCAGTGAGCGAAATAAAGAGTTCAGTTCGAAATTCCAACCACCTGAAGAAGTTTGGAGTGTACAACGGCCGAAATGTTGTGATAAATATGGCGACAAAGATGAGGACAATAGTCTGAATAATGTAAATAATGAAGAAACCCTTGTTGACAAGCACAGCAGCCAGACGTTTCCTGTCATTGGTTACCAAGTTTTTACACATCCCGGTGGGGGATTTTGTCCTACTCCCCTTTGCAGATCCTCTCCAAATCCTTAAGGTTTGTAGGTTGTCATTGTGCAACTCAAAACTTCAGTTCCCTCCACAGACTTTCTAAAGGATTATGGTCCAGAGACTGACTAGGCCACTCCATTACCTTAATGTGCTTCTTCTTGAGCCACTCCTTTCTTGCCTTAGCCATAGACTTTGGGTCATTGTCATGTTGGAACACCCATCCACAACCCATCTTCAGTGACCTGGATGAGGCAAGGTGGTTTTTACTCAAGAGTACCCTATACTTGGCCCTATCCATTTTTCCATCCACCCGGTATAGTCATCCTGTCCCCAGAGAAACAGCCCCAAAGCGTAATGTTTCCACCACCAAGCTTAATGGTTGGGATGGAGTTCTTGGGGGTCCAAGTCAGCTTTTCTTTTCCTCCAAACATGTCAAGTTGATGCCAAAAAGCCTGACTACAGCACTTTCTCTCAACCCTCCTCTGAATCATTCAGGTGCTCATTTGCAAACTTCTGACGAGCATGTACATGTGTCTTCTTCAGTATTGGGACCTTGTGGGCATTACATGATTTCAGTCCACTACGACGTAGTGTGTTACTACTGGTCATCTTGGCAACTGTGGTCCCATCTGCCTTGAGATCATCAACAAGCTCTTTCTGTTCTGAGTTGTTTCCTCGCTTTTCTCATCTTCAGGTTCACTCCATGTTGGGAGATCTTGTGTGTAGGGAGATTGATAGTCAATTGGTGTTTCTTCCATTTTCTTATTGCACCAACAGTTGACTCCTTCTCACCTAGCTGCTTGCCAATTGTCCTGTAGCCCATTCCAGTCTTGTGCACGTATAAAATTTTGTCCTGGATATCCTTAGACAATTCTTTCATATTGCCCATTACAGAGAGATCAGATTCTGATTCATTGAAGGATTCTGTGAACTAGTGTCTTTTATACAGGTAATGAGTACTTGATTAGGAGTAATAATTGAGTAATAGGAATAGTCTATATGTCTCCTGGTCACATAACCAGTCTGTGGGGCCTGAATCATTGCTGGTTGGTAGGGGGCGAAATATTTATCTTTTTCAATACAAAAGAAATAAATGTTCAAATATTATTATAATGTGATTTTCTAGAATTTTTTTTATATTCTATCTCTTCACTTTCAAGACAGACCTACCCTGAAAATTATAGACTGTTCCCAATTTTGTAAGGTGACAAACTGAGAAAATCCGCAGGGGATGAAATACTTATTTTTCCCACTGTAATCATCAGGCCATATGCATTGTTTTCTCAACCACCCATAAATACAAGTCAGTGGTGAATTGTAAGTAGTTTGTTGTATTGTTCTGTAATTTTTGTGGGTGGCAACAACTAAGTTTTGAATTATTTGAATATGAAAGCCCAAGAGTAACACAAAAATACAGAGATGCAGATATTGAGATAGGTAAACATGGAGATAATATTTGAAAAAGATAGAAAAAAAAAAAGAAACAATATAGACAGGACAAAAGAAGTGGGTTTTCAGAAAAAAATTTTTTTTTTTTTACTTTAAATTGTTTCACTTTTTGACTTTTAACTGGTTTCGCTTTTAGCTTTTCAAAAAGTTTGTAACTGTTTATATTTCCATGTGTTGATGCATGTGTTTTGAAGAAATTAAAAAATCAAGGGGCATAATTGGCTTTATATGTCATTTATGGTAAGGAAAATATTGTAGAATCTATATATAGATTCTACCATATTTTCCTAAATACACCCCTTGATTTTTTTTAATTTCTTCAAAACACAAATGTGGTATTATGTGAATGTGTTTATCCTGTCATTTGAAAATTCCCTTCCCTATTTTTTTATAAATGTCAAACTTGGCTGATAAATTGGCACTTTACTAAGAATAATAAATTATATTTTTTTCCTAGTTTCATTTCTGAATAATCTTGAAATAATATTAAACTCAGTTAACTTTAGAATTTGACATTTGAAATTTTTAATTTTAAATATAACTGTTAACTTAAAATTTAATTTTATATTGATTTCTAATCTAATCTTAACTTTAATGCACTAATACATTGTACTTATACTAGAGTATGTTGCCGTGTTTTTTTTAAATTACCATATACTTGTATTCTGATTGGACATCATAGGTTACATAACAATGTTTCCCCTACTGAGTGGGCTTTTGTTTTTTGTGGAACTCTTAAAAATGCTTATTTTCCAATCAACATCATCACTTGATAAGACACCAGAAATGTTGAAACAAAATTGCAACTTTTGTAGTGATCTTATAACATGCATCATACTTATTATAAAACCCAGGTTGTGTGTGTGTCTGTACGTTTATATATTGGAACAGATTTCCTACATTTTTCAACCGATTTCGACAAAACTTCACAGGACTACGTAAAATTACCTTGCGGTGGTTCTAACAGTGCCAAAAATTGGAAAAACACAATTGTTTTTGCATGAAATCAATTTGAAAACACAATAGTCATCGCAAGAATGAAAGGGGGGACAACTCATATCGAGTTATACTTATTATAAAACTCAGGTTGTTTGTGTGTGTTCGTTTATATATGGGATCGGATTTCCTACATTTTTCAACCGATTTCAACAAAATTTCACTTTTCTTTTTTTCTTTTTTTTTTTTTTCGCAGGTAGTGTTTCTTATTGTCTTGCACACTTTTTTCTTTATTTTTACATTCAGAATGCTTTAAAAATTCCATTTACAAGACAATTGTTTATAATAAAATTCTATTCAATTGGTAGACTCAACGATTGAAAACAATGTTTTTGTTTGAGTTTGACCAATTCGTTAAAAAAAAAAAAAAAAAAGAAACAAAACAAAAAAAACTAATTAAGGCATGCGTGTCCATCAACTTTAAACAATAATCTTTGTCAATTTTATTTTTCAGTCTTTATGATGGTCGATACTTGATCTATCTCTTACTGTTACATCCCCGGGCAACGCCTGGCTCTACTGCTAGTATGTTATAAATTTGAATAAATAAATATATATATATATGTATATATATAACTCCAGTACTGCTTGAAATCAAATTGATGAAATGAATGCTTTTTTAAAATTAGATAAGATAAATTATAGAAATTTGAAAGAAAGTCTAATCAACCACAAAAAAGACTTGTAGCATTTTTGGCTGAAAATATTTTAACTATTCAGTCATCCCTTTCTTTATGGTGAGAATTTATAAAAATTTGGGGTTTGAAATCTTTCATTATGGAGTTAAGTGCTATATTAGCAGTCTGTTCAAAAACCATATAAATACAGTTGATACTTTCAAGAAATTATCCAATATTTAAATTTTGATGCACAAGAAGGATATCTTGAGTCAGCACTTTTCAGCAATGGCACCCAAAATGTTTGGAATGAAATACAGGCCAGATATAGTAATACATGCTTTTCAGTAATCTGCAACATGATGGTCATTGTATAACTGGATTTACAATAACTGTCATTAGCAACATTAAGAAGGATAACATCAAAAGTTTCAAAACTTAATGAAAAATCTTTTTTGCTATCAATATTTAATACAATTAATGCCAGTCAAAAAGGATGCATAATTCTACCTGATGAAGTATATATCAAGAAAATGTTACTATATCATGGCAAACAACTATCTTGCTCAAACAGTACTTGGTATAATGTTGATATATCTTAATGTGGGTCCAAAATTTCTTACAAAACATTCCAATTTTAAAATTAACATCAGCATTTTTATTTGAACAGATTGAGTTAACAGTCCAGGCTAACACTTCTGATGATGTAAAGACTATTCTATATGATGGCAACCAAATAAATTAAGCTTTTTGTAAATTATATCCCACATTCCCTGAAAAACCTTGGTTATCTGAAGATAATAAACATTTGCTTTTTGATTATGTTCATCTGTTGAAAAATATTCACAATTTGAGGCTCACAGAAAAGATGGGAACTAATCTTTGATGATAATGAAGTAAAACAAGTTGCAAAATGGGCACATCTTAAACATTTATATCATTTTGAATCTGAAAGGCTAGTTAAACATTTCAGGTTTAAATGAAATTTCCATTGCTCCAAAATCCATAGAAAGACAACAGGTTTCTACTTGCCTCAGTGTTTTCAGAAAAAAGACATAGAATGCACTTTTCACTCAGTCTGAAATAAGTGTGGATAAGAATGATACTGTCATTTTCAAAGACAAGGTTTTGACATGGTGGAAAATTTTAAATATTAAGAACCTTCAAATTGATAAATTACTTTAAGTATTTTCAAATAAAATTAACACAATTTTCTCCCAAAATTTCTGAAAATCAAACATTTTTCAATAGGCCACCAGTTCTGGTTCTCAGTTGCACCCTGAGCAGGCCTAGAGTATAATACACTATGATACATATACACATATATATATATTCGTCGTAACACAGAAATTACCATGTTTTAGAACCTAAACTTTAACTTAAATTTTTTTTTCCCCATTCTTAAGCGCTTGAGAATGGAACAAAAACTTTAAGTTTAATTTAAGGTTTAGCTTTTGGTTCCAAAACATGGTAATTTCTGTGTTGTGATGAATAATTATTTTTAAATAATAATATAATATTATGCTCTACTGTGTATCGAGCACTGGTTTTAAAAATAAATGCTAAAGAATTGTGGATTAAAAAATCTGACTGTTGATTTTGTGTGTGTGTGTGTGTGTGTATATATATATATATATATATATATATATATATATATATACATACACACAAATGAAATGAGAATGTATCAAATATCAATTCAAATGTTCATAACGTTAATTTAAAAATAGTACTCAATACAATAGTAAAGCAATATTCTTTATTATAGGATACTACATTTGAACATATATAAAACCGCTACATAAATGCATTCATGTTTCGATGCATATCATCACATCTCATCGGAGGGGTGAAAAGATATGTATGGACTATTCCATTAATACCCACCTCAGATTAACAGTCATAGCATTATGGATATTAATATGTGAAGTACGTCTTGAACTTAGTAGACCAATGAACGGGCATACCCGACCTGGTATGAGTAGATGGAGTTGCTTCCGAGTCAGATGCTGAAAACAATTGTGTGCTATGGATAATATGCAAATCTGTCATGATTAGGTAGATGATATGCATTGATATGCAAATCTGTCATGATGATTAGGTAGATGATATGCATTGATGCATCAGTAGTACTGCCTAATGAGATGCAATGATATGATTCGAAACATGAATGCTTTTATGTAGTGGTTTTACAGATGTGTTAAATGTGTATATATATATATATATATATATATATATATATATATATATATATATATATAATCTGAATTATTGGAAAGTGAGTTACAGACATTTACTATTCAAACATGTTTATGTGAATAAAACCCTGTGCATATGTACCATCATTATTCTGCTACCTTTACACACTATCACCATTGGGACTGATACAATTGGCTCATCAGTAAGTGAGTACAAGTAAGTGAGGTCATAAAGAATGTGGTAGCATCCTTGAGCATCTCCAACAACATGATCATTCCATATCCTTGTTAAATATCATTTGAGAACCCCAAATAAATGATAATCCTAACTTATCTGTTTTCAGCTTATATGATGTATGCAATCAAACATTTATATAACCTTCATTATAGCATGAAGTCATGTGTTTAACCATTTTCTTTTAATTGTTTAACATTTCTGTAGTCATGTATGTTGATTTAGGAAATTATTCTTTCAGGAATGGAGATATTGGAAGAAATCCAAGGTGCAGATTTATATCTTGATAAGATTTCATAGTGACACTCTCAAATTTTCTGTCCAAGTA